TAAACATCATGTTTTACACAATCTTTACTCAAACTAAAAAAATAAAGGGAAACTACCCAGTTTTAACATAAGGGTTTTATTTTTAAATAGCCGTGCTGCTCCCTCCCATCCCCTGATTAGAAGGAAAGCTTTTTAGATAGACTTATTTGCTGAAAGTTTGGAGGTTAAATGGGCAATTAGAGGGATTTCGAGAGTTTAAGAAGAAGAGAACCTAGAATAAGTCAGTGACATGAGGTTTAAAGAAGGAATTGGAAATAGAGGAGCAACTGACTGGATCTAGCTTCTGAAAAGAAAGGGAGATTTAGCATACAGGACTTCCAGGTGGAGTTCTTAGTTGGAAGGATGTGAGGTTTTAATCCTACAATTATAAATCCTTCCACATGAAAGATGTAAAAACCTTAATGAGCTGTCTTTCTGATCCATATTCCCTAGGCCCTAGAAGGCTGTCTCACTATCATTCAAAGTCTCATATCTAAAATCCTGGTTCTTTAAAACTCATGTGGCCTCTATTCTGAAGTCACTATTAATTTGACTCAAAGATCCAACACAGTCATCTTTATGAGGCAGCATATTGATAAATACTGAACATTTTTATCTTATCTCTTTATAGCCTAAATTCCAGAATGTGAACTCCAAAAATTGCTGTATTTAAAGTTTTTGAAAATTAAGCACTATAAATGTAATGAACTGTAGCCCTCAGGCATGCCTAAAAAGAGGAAAGAATATCCACAGCATAGAATCACTGACAAATTCCTGACATTCTAGATGTCATCTCATATGTAAACAGTCTGTGTAATGTGTTTCTTCCCTGAACCCCTTTAAATTTTTCTTTCTAAGAGGCACCCTACGTCCTTTCTTCTGCCTTTCCTAAAGATATGTATATTGTTGTTTTATAAGAGACCTGAATAGAGATTAGAACAACCAAAACTGTACAAGGTTGCTGCTAGGCAACTAGACTTAGCTCCACCCACACGACTTAGGGCCTGCCTGTCAGAGAGATAGCTGAATTTGGTATCCATCAGCAGCTCAAGTCAATACCTTTGCCACAGTAATTATCTGCTTTTATTTATTTTCCCCTTGCCCAATTTATTTTAGGCCAGATCTCAATTTTCCTTTCCTAGAGCCTGTGGATCCATGTTCAATTGCCTAGTTTCTCTGTAACACCTGAAAGTAATCACAGTTGCCAGATTCAGTAAATAGCAAATCGAAGCTAAGTTGGCCCAGTAGATTTAATCAGACCAGTAGAACTAGTAGTTCCATGTAGGAACAACAATTGGAAATGTTTGGTCATTGAATGAGTTTTTAGGTGGCAGGGATGCTATTAAATGATATTTGTTCAACTATTTGAGCAAATAGTTGAATGATGTTGTCCTAGATACATAAAACAGTGAAATAATTTTCAGCATAACTGAATTGTGAGTTACCTTTCAGATTAAAAGCACTGATTTATTTAAGGCTTTATATTCATGAGTCAAGTAAATTAAAGAGCTGAATTTTCTTCTGGAAAATTTTGCTGCTTGCCCTTGTAAAAAGGAAAGAGTTTGCCTTGACAGTCATTATTCTATGTAACAAAAATGATATGTTAACATTAGGTTATCAATTAGTCTCATATTGTAGGAGTTTATAGTGAAGGCCAAGAAAGGGCCGAAGTTAGCTACAATCTGCCAAAACTGATTCAAGTGGCCATAGGGAAATTAACTTTTTTTTTTTCCAAAGTATTCATGAAGGAAAGCACTCTCAGGTCTGGCTACAAAATTGAGTTTTCCTGTGGCTAAACTATCATAGAGTAGTTTGATGTAAAGTTGCGGCAACACTGTTCTGAAATGATTGTACTGTGAAGAAGGTAGCAGCTAGGTCAATTAAAAGAGAACTTTAAATGTATACTTCACTGGACGGTGAGGTAAAAGAATGCTGCCAATGGACCATTAGCAAACTGTCTTTTTAGGGTAGCAATTTTTCAACTTTCCTCATTTTAACCCTTCACTGAACTACAGGAATGTTGTTTGAATATAGTACCAGGAATCAAAGAATTCAGGCAAGCATGCATCAACTTAGCAGGTCTGAAAATATACGATTTCATTGGTTGGCTGGCCTTAAAAAGAAAACAGTTGCTATCCTTTTTCCCTAATATAAAACTCAAAATGGTTCTCTGAATTCACTCTAATTATCAGTGTTTTTTCAGATACATCAGAGAGAGAGTAGGAGAGAGAGACTACAGCATACATGTGAAATAGAATCAACAGTGAGGAAAATTCAGCACTGGAGAGAAAAATGGGGCTTGGCAGAGTAATCTGACATTGCAACTATAGAACAGAATAACTTTTACCTGATGATTTGCTCCATCTTCCATGCTATGGTTTATTAGTGCAATTTCAGAGCTGAATTGATTTTGTTTAAAAGTGGGCTTTTAAATGCTACAAGATTTTCTTTTTTAGATTTATTTATTTCAAAGACCCAGCAGCAGAGGGATAGACAGATCAATAAATCAATTGATCTATCAGCCTTCCATCTGCTGGTTCATTGCCCAAATGGCTGTAATAGCCAAGTCTGAGCCAGGCCTAAGCCAGGAGCCAGTAATTCGATTCTGGTATCCCATGTGGGTGACTGGGGCGCAGATACGTGGGTCATCTTCCTCTGTTTTCCCAGGCACTTTAATAGTAAGTTGGATAGGAAGTCGAAGAGCTGGGAGTCAAACTGCAACTCCAATATGGGAATCCATTGTTATAAGCAGTGGCCTAACCCACTGTGCCACAACACCAGCACCCATAGTGTTTCAGACAGTATTGTTAAACATAAAACTATTTTACCAACCGAATAGTGATTAAAATAGTACAATTAAAACGAATTATTGAAGGAATACTATTTAGAGTTAATTGCCTTATTAGGATATTTGTTCATGTGCTACAAATTGAATGATAGTTATTTTATTAATATAGCAATTTTGTATGGATGTAAAGAGTCATTTGGATGCAACTGAGTTAATGTTATTTCAAGAAGAATTAAATGTGTAGAAATCTTTGTTTTCTGCTGAATAAAATGCTATATTCAGAAATAGATTTTTTCTGAGTATAACTGTGATATTGAATAGCTATAATATTGTATTCTTGTTCTGTCATTCTTTCTCTATTTCATGCACATGTACACACACATACCTTTTCATTACACTTTTATTCTTCAAAAGTCCTTTTTCTCTCAGGTGCAGGGAATCCTTCCGTAATATTGTTTTCAGGGTTCATGTCTGGATTCTGCCTATTTGTAATGGAACCTTTAAGGAATTTAAGCTAAAGGTTCTTTCTTATACAAATTCCACTTAATAGCAAGTAAAGTTAAGGATACACTGCCATGTTTTGTTTTGTATTTTATTATGCTCCAGCTTGCATGAAGATTAAGTATTTTAAAATGCTTACATGTAAGAAGGCTTACACACACACACACACACAGAGTGGAGTAGAAATTGTATAATTTTAGAATTTTTGATCTTGCAGGAAAATAAGGGAGAAAGCACTCATTTCTTAAAAATGTTCATAAGCATCCAGGAATATTTTTCTTCATCTATTGCTTCTTATAATGATCCTAAAAAATTTCTTGTCCTCATACTCATTTTGACTATATATTTAAATATTCCGCCTATAAATACTGTTATCATAGTCTGACTTAAAGGCAAATGCATTCCTTGCTTATTTTATAAAATATAGAAGTATATTTCAAGTGGAATAAAATAATCTTATCACATACATCTCGGTTCATTATGTTGGACTTCAGTAGTATGTAATAAGAGAATTCTCTAAAATTAGTTATGTAAACTTAAGAATGGAAATTATATATCTTAGTATAATTAATCAAGTTATATGTAATATGGCCCTAAATATTTTCAATATAATATATGCATAGTTCATAAAATGGAAGATTTTATGAAACACCTCTGCCTTTCTATTTATACCAAATGCAGAAATATTATAAAAGGTATTAAGTCGGCAACATGACTGAATGTTTAAAGTAGTATGCTAATGTACATGTTAAATATGAATATTTTAGAATATGCTACAATAGAATCTTTGACTCTTCCTTCTTCAACTTCCATGCTCATATGTAAGAAAGTCACCTAGCTCTTATTGCCACACTATTTTTTTACCTAAGCATTTATTTTTTTCAACTGCCTTTGACATTCTTTCTCTTTAGATCCTTTAACTTCTCCTCTGTATCCATTCCTTCTGATATTTTACATTTATTCCTCATGATCATCCAGGTCACTATAAGGCAAAGATCTAAGCATTTCAAAAATGATAGGAGCCTGAAATTTTAAGAAACTTTTAATAATTCTACAGTATTTGCTAATTGAGCAACTCTTACCAGTTTTTCTTTTAAGGTATTCTAAAATGTGGCCCCAAATTACCTGTAGACAGTGATTCTTTCTTAATCTTGGGCAATCACTTGATCTTTAAAAATGTGCATATATACAAATATGCAAAGAATTGCATATAATTTAATATACAGCTTAAATAAGGCCATTCTTCCTCAAGACTTAGAAAAATAGCCCACCATACACTTATTTCCTGCCACTCTACTACATATACCTTAAATTTCAACTATGTTAAGCCGTAAGCAACTTGAAATCTGATGGTGCTATATGTAAAACACACATTCTCCTGTGCCACATGATCTAACCAAATGTCTCCACCAAGTAACTTGGCTTCTGGAAAGTCTTCCTTGAGGTTTTTCAAATGTTTCACTCTCACTCCCTTATCTGTCCACTGTCATCTGTTACTTGGATAACTTGGGAAGGGAAATGTCATTTTATAGCTCTCATCTACTACTATTCTTCTTCAAGAAAATTCGTAATTTGTTTATCCTAGTGGGGATTTTTTTTTTTTTTAACTAAAGAACTCAGGCTGTGCTTACCTTCATTAACACAGGCTTCGTTTGTACTTAAACTTGATATCTCTTTGATTCATGTCTACTCAAATGGGTGTCAAAGGTGTATTTCCATTTTTGTTTTTCAGGTTTCTTGAGTACAGGGGATCAGGCTGCCAAGGGAAACTATGGACTTCTTGATCTCATCCAGGCTTTACGATGGACTAGTGAAAACATTGGATTCTTTGGTGGTGACCCCTTAAGAATCACTGTTTTTGGATCTGGCGCTGGGGGTTCATGTGTCAATCTGCTGACTTTATCCCATTATTCTGAAGGTAACCGTTGGAGCAATTCAACCAAAGGTATTATGCAGGTTGCAAATTTTGACAATTTTGGTGTCTGCATGCCACCACCATCAGTAGTATGTGATGCTCTGTACTATCTCTCTGTTCAAACTGAGTGTTAGGTTGAACTCAATAATTGCTTAAAACTATGTTTCTTCAGCTTTTCTGTGCATGTTTAAATTTTTGTCAAACTCTTTTCATTGTCTCCTGTGGAGCTTGGTAAGAATGCCCTTTCAAGCACACTTCAGAATAGTTAGCATTACAGTTACTTTTCTTGCTTTCAATGGGTGATTTCAGGTAAATCAGACAAAGACATTCACAGTTCTGCCATCTGTTTATTCAGTAATCAAAATCAAAGACAAGACTTTATCACAGGGACTCTATAAAATATATTTTAAAGATAATAGACATTTTAAACCCTTAATTAGTAAGAAGCTAATGAAACAGTCTTAAGGTAGTTTGTCTGGAAACTTGTGATTTCACTTGTTGTCTGAGTAGAGAATGGATATTGATTATTTTGCATGCATGATCCAAAATTGTCAAAGCATCCAGGTCACTAGCAGAACTTTTTATTAGAAGGAAAAATACTTTTGATTTCGTTCTTTTTCAATCTGTAACACCAAAGGTGTTTCCCTTCCCGCCCCCTAAAGTTTGGCAAAGCATCGTGGAGCACTCAGGCTTCAGAAATTCATGAAAATTCTTTGTTTCCATTTTGTGGCTTTGACATCTTTTTTTCCAAAGTGCCTAAGGCTCACCATGTTGTTCTTTATGGACTCCATCTTACCATGTGCTTAATCACCCATTCTAACTGCATTATTAATTTAAAATATCCACCAAAGAAGTTTTGTTAAAGTCTGTGAAGCAAATACTTTCTCTCCATTATTTATATATAATAGAGAGGAAGACAGAAAGTAAGCATCAACACAGACCATCTTGTGCTTTCTGCTTTTTTGTTGTCATTTTACACATATGAAGAAAGTATACTCTGTCAAATATAATTCATGCAGCACCTTAATTTGTAAAACAATTTTATCATATGAGAACCAGACTTAGAGTACTTGGTTTTGATGTCAAAAATACATTAATGCAGAACTGTAAAAGAATCGTCAATCATTAAATGAGTACTTACATACTGGGCAAATCATGTATTGTTATGGACTTAATTTACTTTATATAATCTCATTAATTTTAGTAGCATTCTGATTCAAGACAACAAAATGACAGAGATGAGAATATTTCTAATCTCTTAGATAATTTTGTTTGTACTGAAATGACTTATTTTTAAATAATAAGATCTGGGTTTTTTTGTTTGTTGTTTGTTTTGTTTTGTTTTTAGTTTAATGGATTAAGTTGTTCTAGCCTGAGTACCATACTAATGCCAATATTTAGCTAGGTTTACATTAGGCAATCTTTATAGACATCTCAGGGTCATTTGATCATAACTGGGCACAATTGCTAGTTTCTACCAGTATCAAGCTAGCATTGGATAAAGTGTCAAGTTAGGTTGTTCACTGACTAAATTGTTGCTCATTAATTCAGATTGTGGAAAATAGTGGCAAATAGTTACAAAAATAGTTGAAAACTTAACATTCCATCATACTCTTCAGGAAAATCTGAATGCCTCTGGCCAGAAACATGAACACAGGCTTGGTCTAGTCCTAACCCCATCTCCAGACTGAGCTGCCTGATTTGACCAGGAGGTGCTCAGAAGATATCTTAAAAACATCAGACTGATTCTGCTTCAAATGCAGACAGGCTTTAAAAGCTGTCAGCTCCATCAGGTGTGCAGCTGCCCTAAGTCCTGAATAAACCACAACTCAATACATACCATATACACATGACAAAATCGCTCAATTGTGATAAGATATGTGGTTTTCCCAATACAAGTTAAATGGCATATTTCAGGCAATATTTAACATAACATGCATTTCCCACCAATATCTTCTAGGTATATTTAATGTCATTGAACCCCTGAGATGATAAGTAATATTATAGAAAACACCAAGTTTATTTTACTTGTAAAAATTTTGATTAGGAAAATATTTCTTTGAGCAAATGTTGGCCAATAGCCCATATAATCTTGTAAACTACTATTTACATATTTTCTGTAGCATATTTTGCTCTTGCAAACTACAAATATGTTTATAAAGATGTTGAAAACCAAACCAAACTCACATTAGTATTGTTTGGCTTCCTGAATATTTTTAGAATGATCTAGGAACACATGTTAGACATTTTAATATATATGCCTGTTTGCAAGAAAATCTAAAACTTTACTTTTCACTCATTTACTGCTTTGGCACCTTTATGACAAGAGTTCTTATCGCATTAGCATGCATGAATAATTAATCATGTGTTTAAATGACTGAATTACATAACTGTATTTGAAAACTGATAACAAATAAAAATTTTTTAAAATAGGCAAACTATATTTTTAAAAAAAGAATTTAGAAAATACTGTAATAAGGAGATAAAGTGCATTTATGAATTTGAATGACATACAGGCCTTATCAAATTGTATATGGGGCCATAATTTACAGTTCTAAATGCAATTAAGTGAAAAGCAATGGACCATGTATGTTTCATATTTTATGATAAATATAGCAGCACACATTTAACAGTGGAAAGTCACTCCCCACTAAATCCTTCTGCTGATGGTTTTTTCTTTAACCCAGTGAAGGCACTTCAAATGTTCTGTCTTCCTCTGAAAGATGAATATTCAGCACACTATGTCTGACATGAAGATCTGGAAAGAGTATGTCTAAAGTGATATTCTGTTTTGTGTGCCATCCCCAGGGTATGAACAAATCCCTAGCCCTGGTAGATGTGTAAAATCTCAATCATCCTTTTTAAGATACTATCTGGTTAAAAAAATATAGAGAACATTTTGAAGGAAGACAGATGCAGTCAAATTGACGGATATATCCCAAATCAACAATATGAATCTGTTGAAGGCAAGGGCGTTGGCTCTATTTGGTTGGCACAGAGGATAATATAAATATTTATGAGCTCCTTGAAAAAATATTTGGGGCTTTTTACCACTAGTTTTTATGCCTTTTCTTCCTCTTTTTGCTTCTTACCCCTTTGAGACTCAGTATAATTCTAACCAACTTGATCCCTAAAATATATGCCACTCAAAGCACCAGACTTAGGTCCACTTCTGTAACTCACTATACCCTGGGGATGACTTTGTGTTTCTCTTCTTAGGCAAAATGTCTCTATCTTCCTGTTTATTGAGTTGTATATGGGAATTTATATATGAGTACATGTCTAAAATAGCAGATGTTATTGTTTTGCCACATTATTCAAAGGTCATCTGAAACTCTTTGTGATTTTCCATAGGACTTTTCCAACGAGCAATAGCTCAAAGTGGAACAGCCCTTTCCAGCTGGGCTGTCAGTTTTCAACCTGCAAAGTATGCTAGAATGTTGGCCACAAAAGTTGGATGCAATGTTTCAGATACAGTAGAGTTAGTGGAATGCCTCCAGAAGAAGCCTTACAAAGAACTTGTTGACCAAGATATCCAACCAGCTCGATACCACATAGCCTTTGGACCTGTGATTGATGGTGATGTAATTCCAGATGACCCTCAGATATTGATGGAGCAAGGAGAGTTCCTCAACTATGATATAATGCTAGGAGTTAACCAAGGGGAAGGGTTAAAATTTGTGGAGAATATAGTAGATAGTGATGATGGTATATCAGCTAGCGATTTTGACTTTGCTGTTTCCAATTTTGTTGATAACTTATATGGATATCCTGAAGGCAAAGATGTTTTGAGAGAAACCATTAAATTCATGTACACTGACTGGGCTGACCGTCATAACCCCGAAACCAGAAGGAAGACACTATTGGCTCTGTTTACAGACCATCAGTGGGTGGCGCCAGCTGTAGCTACAGCAGATCTTCACTCAAATTTTGGTTCACCTACATACTTCTATGCCTTTTACCATCACTGCCAAACAGATCAGGTTCCTGCTTGGGCTGATGCAGCCCATGGAGATGAGGTTCCCTATGTACTGGGAATTCCCATGATTGGCCCTACAGAGTTGTTTCCTTGCAATTTCTCCAAAAATGATGTGATGCTGAGTGCAGTCGTAATGACATACTGGACAAATTTTGCTAAAACTGGGTATGTACCAAGGAATGATGTTGGCTGTGGTGTTAATAAAAATACCCTCATAAGCATTTTAAAACATTCATATTTTATGCTCAAATAATTTAATAGATTAATACCAGCAATATATTAAGTTCCTTTATTAAAAATTAATTCTATATTATTGTTTCATGACTTTCTTAGTTCTTGCTTTTTAGACATTTGAGAAAGGTTGATATTCATATCCCCACTGCATTACTCAACAATTAAATATGGTATTGGTTTGTTAATTACATTGGACTTGCTATTATTTAATAATAAACTAATGTTAATTTATAGTGCTTTCCAACTTATAATACTGTATGCTCTTTGGTCCTTTCTAGCACATTGAGAAGTAGACACGTCAGGTACTTTTTTTTTAAAGATTTATTTATTTATTTGAAAGTCAGAGTTACACAGAGAGAGGAGAGGCAGAGAGAGAGAGAGAGAGAGAGAGAGAGGTCCTCCATTCAATGGTTTACTTCCCAATTGGCCATAATGGCCAGAGCTGCACTGATTTGAAGCCAGGAGCTTCTTCAGGGTCTCCCATGCAGGTGCAGGGGCCCAAAGACTTGGGCCATCTTCTACTGCATTCCCAGGCCATAGCAGAGAGCTGGATCTGAAGAGAGCTGGATCTGAAGAGGAGCAGCCGGGACTAGAACCGGCACCCATATGGGATGCTGGCGCCTCAGGCCAGGGTGTTAACTCTCTGTGCCACAGTGCTGGCCCCAACTATTAACCACATTTTACAGAGATCTGAGGCCTTGATAGTTTCATATTGATATCTGTATTTGGTATACAGTAGTTCCAGAACTCAAATATTTATATGTCAATTCCAGATTCCAAGACATTTCCACTCTCCCATACTAAATCTGCTTCTTTGAGTATGAGCTAACTTATATGTTTATGAATATTTAAATGATTTCAAATCTCCAGGTAGAACATAGGCCATCTCAAATGTACAGAGAACAAGAATGTGAGACTTACTTGCATTACATTTAACAATCTACCTGTTATGAGATTTGAATTTCTAAATTAACTCAAGATAATGTTAAAACAGAATCTTCCAATGAGATATTAAACCAATACCACTGTGATTAAGAAAATCAATAAAATGATTTTGTCCTTGTAATTTCTTTTTTTTTTTTTTTTTCCTAGTGACCCAAATCAACCAGTTCCTCAAGACACAAAATTCATTCATACCAAACCCAACCGCTTTGAAGAGGTAGCATGGACCAGATATTCACAGAAGGATCAACTTTATCTCCATATTGGATTAAAACCAAGAGTTAAAGAACATTACAGAGCTAATAAGGTAAACCTCTGGCTGGAGCTGGTACCCCATCTACATAATCTCAATGACATTTCTCAGTATACCTCGACAACAACTAAAGTGCCATCAACAGACATCACTTTCAGACCTACGAGAAAAAATTCCATACCTGTCACATCAGCCTTTCCCACTGCCAAGCAGGATGATCCCAAACAGCAACCAAGTCCATTTTCTGTGGATCAAAGGGACTACTCAACAGAGCTGAGCGTCACAATTGCAGTTGGAGCATCACTGCTGTTCCTGAACATCTTGGCTTTTGCAGCCCTGTACTACAAAAAGGATAAGAGGAGACATGACGTTCACAGGAGATGCAGCCCTCAGCGCACTACTACCAACGATCTGACCCACGCACAAGAAGAGGAGATCATGTCCCTCCAAATGAAGCACACTGATTTGGATCATGAATGTGAGTCCATCCATCCACATGAGGTGGTTCTTCGGACCGCCTGCCCCCCAGATTACACACTAGCTATGAGGCGGTCACCTGATGATGTTCCCTTAATGACACCCAACACCATCACAATGATTCCCAACACTATACCAGGGATTCAGCCCTTACACACATTCAATACATTTACTGGAGGACAGAACAATACTCTGCCTCATCCCCATCCCCACCCCCATTCACATTCAACAACCAGGGTATAGCCAGATAAGAGAAACAAACTATTTTTTTTGATGGATTGCAGTAAAAGATTACTGAAGATTCCTTGGCTTTCAAGCTACAAGACTCTTACTATTTAAATAAGAAGGAATATTATGTGAATATACATATCAAGAACTTTGGGGGTTTTGAAAAAAAAGAATTGTATATATATAAATATATATACACAAAGCAACTTTAAAAACAAATTTCAATTGCTTGAAGCAATTGTTCTGAATGATACTTTTTCATTCACATTCAAGAATTAATTTTTTGAAGATTTAAGTTACATAATGGAATTAGGCATGTGGAACACCAAACAGGAAAGAACTATGTCTGAAATATAAAAAATAAAAATAAAAAACAACTATGAATATGCACAAGGGACACACCAATGGAATGTCAGATAATTTTCACCAGTTTTTATTTGGAGCCGTTTTATTGTGTAGACCATATTTACATATTTGGATAAGTACACAAAGCACCAATGCTGTTAATGGCCTTAGCAGAGGCTCATGCTGAAATTTGCCAGTAAAACAAACAAGTTTTAAAGACTGGCAGGTACAACATTATCACATAAGTGCTGTCAGTATAAAGTTGTGGGGATAAAGGAAACTGGATATTTTTAGCACGATGTGCATGATAATTTATATGCTTGGTGGCTGTGCTGCTGATTAAGCCGTAATTAAAATTCCTCTCATCCCATTGGAGTTTTTAATAGAAGCTTCCTCTATCAATTGGCAGAACCTAAAGAAGATTTTAAGGGGCAAAAGTAATTACAATAAAGTAATCCACAGTAGTTTAAATAATAGAAGGAATTAGTTATTAAAGGTATTTGAAGAAACTATAGGTATAGTGGTGAATACTCGCGGATATGAATCCCAGAAAAAAATTCTTGTGTTTTTAATGTTCTTTTCATTCCCATCTAAATAACTTAGAGAAATAGACCCTAATTGGACATGTGTTACAGGATCTATAATTTGCTGTGGTTTTTGTTACTCTGTATTTTGTTCTTTTTGGTAAGGTGAAGTGTGTCCAAAGAGTTACTTGAACAGTCTTTTATGATATGAGGATGCCCCAGTATCACCATTCTGATCACAGTTCTCAGTTAATTTACTCATGTTGCATGACAAGATGTTTACTAATAGTAATTCAATATAAAGTTATGTCCCTCTTCACATCACTTGTCTTTCTCACAGAGGTCCTTTCACTACAATTTACTCACGCAATCTCGGTAGAGTACGACTTAGATACAGAACCTAGGAGAGTCAACACCTGGAGGATGTTAGTTTTCCACATATGTGTGATTTTAAATGAATGTTTCGAGACTGCAGGAAACTTTTCATCCCCCTGTTTACCAGTAACAGTATATCACAGACCTTTCCAAATGTTTGTATATGTAATCAGATGTACATTTATATTAAAAAAATGAGATGGACTTAAAGAGCACATCCTGATAAATACTTTCTCTCTTACGTGTACTATATTTCTATTAGACTAAAGTTATGTGATTTTTTTTTACATTTTTTCAGATGACTAGCAATTTTGATAGTTTGTAAGATAATGCAAAGAACTTTCTCTGACAAACTAACTGCAGTAACAGAAACCTTTCTTTTCAGTTACTCTTTTTCAAGAATGAAAGCTTATTATACAAAAGAAAAACAATTGTATACTACTTGATGGAAACAACTTTGTACATCTTGGCCATGTCACTGGTCATTGCGTGAAATAAAGATAATCTGGATAATGGCTATTAGTCCAATGCTAAGAGACATGATCTTTGCTCATTAAAGAGCTAAAATGTTTATTGCTGTTTTGTCTTTTTTTTTAAAAAAAAAAAAAAAAAACAACAAAAGAAACGTGACTGTCTCGAAGAGTCATTTTTCTAGACCAGTCGGGTTTTTGAAGACATGAGGTAACTCCTACAGTAAATACAACTATGTATCTGAAGGCAAGTCTCATCAGTTATGGAGCTCATGGAACTTTAACATTTTGAATTTATATCTCCAGGAACTCATGAAAAATATTAGCTTTGTATTTTTAAATACCTCTCATATGAAGGTGTTGTAGAAACAAAGTGCCAATTGTTTTTACTTAGAAACATGGGTTCCAATTCTGATAATCAAAGGAAAATTCTATTGGAAACAAACATGAAATATTTCATGAAATAAAAATATCTAGTTTCACAATCTAAGAGTGACTAATTTATCATATCATATTTAGAAGGATATAAAGTTATCCTTCTAAGAGACTTAAAAGTATTAAGCCATTAAACTAACATTAAAAGATAAAAATCTGTTTTAAGAAATATATTTTATTATAATTTCCCCTCCCAATTATTAACTATCAGTAAAATATAGATACTCCGAAATCTGAAATAAAGTCTCTGTTAGAAACAAAAAATCTTCAAAAATCCAGAGTGGTCTACATGCAATTTCTGCCTGATGTGTTTATGCTTTTAGACCGTGAACTGCCAACATAAACCAATAAAAACAATTGTTTAGCATCTGAAATATTGTTTAATCATAAAGCTGTCTTCTATTATATTGAGTAAACAAACAGAAAAACAAGAACTGACAACAGAATAAGATATGAATTAGTATTCTCATAGCATTACTTCACTTGGCAAAATCAAATATTCTATTATTTTTTAATGATGCCCGTATTTTTGTCTACCTACCCATCTGTTGCTCTACATTTATCTATCAACCTGCCTAACCATACCCTAACTGACATCTACTTTATGTTAATTTAGGGAAATGATTTAGAAAAGCAAAGCATAGCCCTATTCTCTCTAAATTAAGATAGTATCAACTTCATCAAAAATAAAGCAGCCAGTTTTTATCGCTGTTCCCAAATCATGTAAAAAAGTCATTGCGAATGAGTGTTAGTTGTTAGTTTTTTAATTACAGCCTCTAATATTCTGAATGTAAGATGATGTCCCACATAAAACAGAACATTAAGAACTGTTTTTAAAGCTGAAACGTACTTTTTAAAAATGTAAGAAATTTTGAATATTGTTACTCAATTTTAACCATGTTTAAATATATTTATTCAAATGTAAGTAACAAAATTTAAAGAATATTTTGGCATTATTTATTAATTAATTCAAATTTTCCTGTCTCAAATTAAGCTATAAGTAGGCAAGATTGCTTAGGATTTATACAAACATTAAGCCAAAATAAACTTTGATCCATTGTTTTGCTATTAAATACATTTTGCAAAATGTTTATCAACAGATTAATGTTGTTTTAGATTATGTAGTAGGAAATGTAAAAGAGAAATTTCAGAGTTTTAAATTTCTATTGAACATGTGGACTATAAACAAAATTTAGCTGATAATCACAAGTACATTAACATGTTCAGCATTAACTTTTAAACATATCAGAATGTAGATTTCTAAAACATAAACAATATCAGTTTGGAGATATCTTGCTGGCAACTCCGAGCAAAAAATCTGAGTATAGATTATTTCATTCTTCTTTTCAAAATTAAAAGCCAAAATGAAACTTCAATTCTTGATCTCTACAATGTGTAAGCAGTTAAAAAAATTAGCTATCCATCATATGTAATACCAAGGTAGAAAACAGGATGGAACTGCTTCCTTAAAGAAAAGAAATGCCAAAATTCAATTGTTACATCTGTAATATATTCTTTAGCAGCAGTTATTTCACCTGTTGGTTTACTCATACTGACACATATTAATAACAATAAAAGTTACAAAGAATGTGGGAAATCTGTTCCAGCTTTAAAAACACTATTACATAGAAATTACTGGGATTCTTTTATTTGGCGAGTTTCACTGCAATATTTTCACAGGACAAAATGATGAATGTTATTTTTAGGAAGCTGTCAAATATCATGGCAGTCCTTTGATGTTAGTAATTTTGTTTTCTTCTGTGTTATTGGTTCAAAGTACTGGCCTTTTCCTTCATTTCCAGTAATTAGTTGTTATAGACTATCACTTTTTAATGTGAGTGAAAATTAGATAATTTGGTTATACTTGTGAAAACATGCTCCCAAATAAATTCAATTAATGAGCACTTCCCTGCTGAGATTTTGTTATCATTCATTTAATTACCTTGTCAAGCTTTACTGTTATGACAATTGTTTGGGCTTTTTAGTCAATAAACTAAGGGAATTTCTCCAATAGCCTTATACCTCTCCTGCACTTGAAATGTAACAACATACACTTCAGATTTCCATCAGCAGTCCCTAAAGAAACTTCCTACAGACATGCAACATTTGGTGATCAACTTGATTCTTTTTCATAAGCACTTGGGTTTGGTTTTATTCTGGCACTTTTCTATATTTGCATGCAGGCCAGTAAGCAATTTCATTTGAAAAGGGTTGTGGAGAATACAGACTGACTATGTGCAGGGCTTAAGTGCCTTTTCCTACTGAGATTTCATTTATAAAACTTGTCATTGTTATTGTTAAAATTTTTTAATTTTCAGATTTTGATCTTTTAATTTAAAAAATGCATAGGATGACTCTGTTATAAATTGCCAATAGAAAAATTTATTTAGAAATTCTTATATTTAATTTTATTTTAGTATGGTAACAAATAGGTCCAAATAACTCTTGGGAAAGAATGTTGTGGACTTTTGGAAAGTGAGAGTTATTTAGGCATCTTGTTTGATAGTACTTAAGAATGGAAAGTGAAATCTCTAACATACTATAAAATATTTCCAAATAGGTAAGTATTACTTAAAAGAAGTATGAAGTTGTTAGAGGCAAACATAAATAACATAACTATATCATTTGTTCTAGTTGGCCATTGTAACTACTCTATGGTACATAGACCATATTTACTGTCTGATTTATAGGATATTAATGGTAGCTCTTTCAGACCCTTGTATTGACTTTGTATAATTCCCTACCTATGTGCTAATGTGACTGAATTTAGTCTTCTATGAAAAGTGAAGTCAAAGTGCTAGGAATATTGTGTTGAAATGAATGATAACAATTACTGTTTATAGAAATGTGTGAAGGCACAGTAACAAAAACTCAGCAGATGAAGTTAAAGCAAAAGGAACACTTTCTTATGGCATTTCCAAGGTTAATGTCTATAGTATGTGGTATTTTAAAAAGAATTTTAGTATTTTTGATTCATCCTTTCTTCATACTCCTCACTTAGCAAATTAATGGGACATATGTCCTAGATTTTATTTAAAAATGCCATTGGATAGTCATGATTCAGTTTGTGTTTGGACATCCATGGCTTTCATTAAAATGCATTTATTATCATGAATAAATATTACTATGTTTTCCGAATTGTGTCGACTATTCTTAAACTCAGAAATAATTTCTTCTCTGCTTGGCACACATGAAAGCATTTCTAAGATGAATGTTCTCTTGAAGCTTCTTTTTATTGCCCACACATGTGCTGACAATTCTGACTTGATGGAAACAATGATATTTTATGGTCTGTTCATCTCTTGGTGAATGCAGGGAAAGATTTGTGGAGTTTGGGAGCTTGGAACAGCCCGTCACAAAAGAGATAGAAAAGAAGAAATAAAGAAGAGAATGGAATAAGGAAGGAAATGAGAGAGAAAGAAAGGAAGAAAAAGTTCTGTATTAAGTTATCTTTTACTCTAAATCAGGTTTAATGGAGATGTGTGATATTTTAAATAGACTTAAATAAATCCATTTGATTCATAAATCTATTGATTTTGAAAAGTGATTAATAACATGTAAGAAAATATAATAAATTTAACCCTTGATCCAAGTCTTGGCCAAGTTGGGAAACTAAAAACAAAAATAAAACCTATAGTGATCTACTTCTATCCTATTATCTAATCAACAGTGGTATTGCTAGAGAATACTACATGAAGTATGGCCATCTCTGCTCCATAGAGCCCAAGATAAGACCACAGCAAACAAATAGGACTTCATAGAATTTCCCCATACATGGCCGAAGGATCAGTGTTTCAATATTGCAAAATGTGGCTACATATGTCCATCAGTACCAAATAAAGAAAGCAATTGAAAGACATGTTCTGGGTGTTGCACTTTGAATAGAAGGGTTTTGATATTTTATAGGACTTAGTTTTATTTGATATGCTTACATTTTTCACTACAAAATTGCATTTTCTTACAGCTTACAGAAGGGCATTTCTGCATTTAAAAAAAGACTCAAATATATTCTGCAAATGACCATATTTTCAAGGAGTATAATTTGATGTGCTTCCTACTGCCCCCATTTGGGAGCATTGCCTTATATATCTGGTGTAAACATTTTTTTCTGTTTTAAATGTACTCAATTTCATGCTCAGAACTCTCTTCCTCTGTACTACAGTGGAACTTCTCTCCATTTACTGCAACTTCTCCTTCAATTACTCCTCTCTTTACTATTATGCATTCTTCTCCAAGGGCATGGAATTTCTAAGGAAATTGTTAGAAGATGATCTAACTAACCGAAACTTGAGAATTGGTTTCTCTGTTCCCCAGCAGGTTAAAAGTGATTGAACAACAATCAAGCAATGAGCGGAATTAGTCATGCATTCCTTCAACAAATGATGCCCACCACATGTCTGCTAACATGGTGTGTGGTAGACACAAGGGCCAACTATGACTTAGCCACTAACATACAAGTATTTCCAAACTTGGAATAGATTCACACTTTGACTCATTCAGATCATTTTGCACACCATATGCGATAGCAAACCATTACAAAATTATCTTGACTATTTTATTTGTCTCAAAATACAAACATAAAACAGTATTTGTTGAGTTCACAGCAATATTAGTTGACTTCTATTAAGCAAATCCATCAATCAAGATAAGAAGGGCAATCTAACCCAATAAGAATGTGTCCATATCTGAAGTCATAATTGTAACAACATAAATCAGGGAA